ACCTCTTTATTTCTAGGCTCATAACATATCCTAGGCTAAGGCCAAATATGTTATTCTAGAGTCCTGATTCAACCACATCCATGGAAGAACCCGCTCGATACGACGTCGTCCAACGTCGGCTGGGTGGGACCACCTACCCACATCCATGAGCAGATCTACGACCCCCGTGCGCACGCTCTACCCAACTGATCATGCGTGCACGCCGGCTCATCACATGACCAGTTATATCCTTATTCTATTTTCTCGGTCTACCTATGGTTCAATTACTAGGTAGCCTATCCGTATTCAAATTCATAATTCCATATTTCCAAATTCATATAAGAATACAATATGTTAAATAACATTCATAGTCAACAAATAGCGGCCTAGTGTCGGGTGTAAACACCTTCCACTTACCGTCATGCAACACACAAGGCATAGGGAACAATTCAGAAGTTGAAACAGAACAAACAGACGCAGAACCGATCGAACAGTCTGCCGGTCCGGTACCCCCTCACGGTACCTCGGTACCGCCAGGCGGTACCTTGGTACCGTCGGTCCGGTACCCCCGTACCGTGCGGGCGCAGGTACCGGCAGTGGCAACCTTCTGTGGCGGTAGCACGGTACCGCTAGGCGGTACCTAGCTACCGTTTGACGTCGGGAAATCACCGGAACGACAGATTTCGATCCAATTCCAAACCATACAATATGTACAACGTTTTTAAGGATTATTATCATGCAAATCACACCAATTGAAAGTAAGAAAACATACCTGGTCATCCTCGTTCCACCAATTCCAACAATAACATATAATATAATTAAATCATAAACAAATAAACCACGTAATCAATCATACGAAACTACGAACGTGAATTTCAAATCTATATACACAATCTAGCGTTAGATGTGCAAGTTCAGACCTTGGTTATTTGACGAATTAAATAAAGAAATTTGATGAAGAAGAGATGCCCAGTTCTTGGCGACCCTGTTTTGTTATTCCAGCTACTCTGTTCCCGTCGTTCTCTTCTCTTTTTCCAGTGAGTACAGCAGCGGCGGTGAGCTTCCCGGAGATGGCGGAGCAGTCCCCTGGCGTCGACTCTATTCCGCGATGGATCTCTGTTTCCTTCCCCGTTTTCCTTCTCGGCGTAGGGTGCGTGTGTGTGTTTATATATGAAGGGGGGAAAGGGTTTTGGGTAATTTCCTTTTAGATTTAGGAGACGGGTAGTTTTAGGATTTAATATTTAATTATTTTATTATTAAAATCTTTATATTTATTTATTGAACTGTGATGTCTATTTTACTCACCACGCTTTACACGTAAGCCAAAATTTAGCAAACTTTATACCGTTGGTCATCATTTTACGAGACCTATCCGAAAACTCAATTTTCATTTAAAATGGATAACTTTACAAATAATTCATATTTTAGAGTAAATAAATATTATTATTTAGTTTTACTAAAATAACGGTTAACTACTAAGCCGGTTTTTGGGTCGTTACATTTCTCTCCCCCTTAAAAGGAATTTTGTTCCCGAAATTCTTCGAAGGTAAAGAGTGAAATTACAAAATGCATTTTAATTTTTTTTCCAACAATATATGTACCTAATCTTTGTAAAAGAGATCACTTTAAGATTTGGTCAAATGTTTTTCTGATTCATATGTTTTGATTTGAAATCACTACGTTGTTTTCCTCTAAGTAGGTAAAATGAAAATCAAATATATTTTTTTCAAATCAAGAGTAAATAATTTAAGTCAAACACCATTTTTTTTGTTAAGCAAATCTTTTGAAATGTTAAATGCCAAAATAACATGTTTTTTTTTCCTTTACACATTTTTTTAAAATAACCCATAGATTAATTAACAAACAAATCAACTAACAATCAAAAGGACACTTTTCACATAAGCACATAATTAAAGTTTAGAGTTACCTCTTGGGGCAGAGGAGTGGCGAGAGATGTAGATGCTGCTGCTGAAGTACCTTGTAACCAAATCAACATTTTTTTTTTGAAACTTTTTTTTGAAATCTTTTTCTGTGAAAGGGTCCGGAGACCGATTTTAAAACCATTTGCTCTGATACCAAAATGTAACACCCCAACCCGCGTGACCCGAATACAAAGACCAGCGGATCGGGTTGCTACTAAGTTGGCATTCGAACACAATAATTTCCAAAACAATTCAAAAATATTTAATTCAAAACAGTATTTGAACATCCATCAGAGTAAATCAAAACGGTGCGGAAGCCTTTAAGTACTTAATCAAAATACAACTTTGGGTTCTTGCCCCTAAAAACATAATTAATTCAAACTTAAATATTAAGTAGTAAACTCCTCCAGCTAGCATCCATCCATCTCTTCACCCTCGCTGCCTCCAAGCTTGTCTCATTATTCATCGTTCCTGTTACCTACGTGTAGCAAATAGGAAAAAAGGGCTACACGCTCAGCATTGAAGCTGAGTGGAA